AAGAGATAACAGTGCTGAAGTTACAACCACAGTGAGAGGCAGTAGAGGGGAAATACAAAGACACTCATAGGCAAGCATCAGAAACTGGTTTTGACAGTCACATTTTCCCTTGTAGTGATGATTAAGAAAATCTCTCCCACTGAACCTGTTCATCCTCTGTCAGAGGCCACCTTCTGCTCACCTGCTGTGCCACAGGTGCCATAGTGACCACAGCCTGGGGGAGTGAAAATGACACAGCCACGCACAGCCCCTGGAGGTCACTGAGCTGGTGGGAATGGGGCAACATCCCTCCAAGGGGCATGCGGATCCTGCTCCGCCCCATGCACCACTCACCTACTAGTTCAGATTACGAAGCACGGACTGGCAGGACCACTGCATGCTGCTGCCCAGGGTTCTCCCTGGTCCAGGACAGAATACCCTAACTGGGAAGCCCTCAGGCTGTGGGGGGGCAAAGGGAAAGAAACAGCCCCACTTTATTATGACACAACACAGTCTGCTTCTATGTGTTTCTTTTCACAAACACACAAGAGTTTGTGTTTTTTTTTTTTTTCTGCAAAGAAACCTTTCATAATGAATACAAATTTCATAAGTACAACTTTAGGAATACAGTGATTCTTCCAACCATACCTGCCCTCCCACCCACACTCCCACCCCACCTCCTCCTCCCTCTCCCATTCCAAGTCCCATTCTCCATTAAGATTCATTTTCAATTAACTTTATACACAGAAGACCAACTAAATACTAAGTAAAATTTCAACAGTTCGCGCACACACAAACTATTTGAAAACAAGTTTTATAGTTATATATATATATATATATATATATATATATATATAACTCATTGAGGAAAGAAGGCCCACGTGGGAAGTAAGTGCACAGTGAGTCCTATTATTAATAATCAACACTCTTATGTATGATGTCAGTGATCACTTGAGGCTCTTGACATCAGCTGCCAAGGATATGGAAACCTTTGGAATCCACAGTCTCCATCAGTATTTACACAAGGCCATACCAAAGTGGAAGTTCTCTGCTCCCTTTAGAGAAAAGTACACCCTTCTTTGATGGCCATTTCTTTCTAGTGGGATCTCTCTCACAGAGAGCTTTCACATAGTGCATTTTTTGCCAGAGTGTCTTGGATTTCCACACCTGAAATCCTTTCATGGATTTTCAGCCAGACCAGAATGCCTCAAGGGCTGATTCTGATGTCAGAGTGCTATGTAAAGTGATTGCTATTCTATGAGTCTGCTGTGTGGACTGCTTCTCATGTTGGGATATTCTCTCCATTTTAATTCTATCTATTCTTATTACCAGACATTTAATCTTATTTATATGATTTATTTAAAATGTACTCCAATCTATATGATCACTTTAACAATTAATATGGTCACTTTAACACTTAAGGTGGCATTTTTACCTCCCAGCTTAATGGGATTTGGGGTCCCATGGCAAGTTTTTGAACTGTACCCTTAGAAGTAAGCCCCTAGGAATGTATGCAGAAATATACAGCTTTACAGTTATAAACTTCCTCCTCCCTCTCTTATTCCCACTCTTATTTGTTACTGAGATCTATTTTTAATTGGCTTTATACACATATGATAAACTCTATGTTACGTAAAGCATTCAACAAACAGTAAGAAGAAGAGAAAAAAAACTGTTCACCAACCCTCAAGACAGGATTGTTCAAGTCACTGTTTCTCAAACTGTCGATTGCACTTCTACAGATTTCTTTTTAGGTGCTCTGTTACCACAGATTAGGGAAACATATGGTATTTGTCCCTTTGGGACTAGCTTATTTCAGTAAGTATGATGTTTTCCAGATTCATCTATTTGATTGTAAATGACTGATTTCATATTTTTTACCATTGTGTAGTATTCCACAGAGTGCATATCTCATAATTTATTTAACTAGTATTCAATTGACGGTCATTTAGGTTAATTCCCTGTCTTAGCTATTGTGAATTGAGCTGCAATAAACATAAGGGTGCAGATAACTCTTTTATTTGCCGATTTCATTTCCCTTGGGTAAATTCCCAGGAATGGGATGGTTGGGTCATATGGTAGGTCTATATTCAGATTTCTGAGGTATCTTCAAACTTTCTCCCACAGTGGCTTTACCAGTTTACATTCCTACCAACAGTTAGGGTACCTTTATCCCCACATCCTCACCAGTATTTGTTGTTTGCTGATTTCTATATGAAAGCCATTCTAACTTGGGTGAGGTGAAACCACACTGTGGTTTTGATTTGCATTTCCCTGATGGCTGTTGATCCCAAGCATTTTTTTCAAGTGTCTATTGGTCATTCAGATTCCTTCTTTTGAAAAATGTCTGTTGAAGTCCTTGGCCCAGTTCTTAACTGGGTTGTTTGTTTTGTTGTTGTGGAGTTTCTTGATCTCTTTATATATTCTGGTTAGTAATCCTTGCATAGTTTGCAAATAACTTCTCCCATTCTGTCAGTTGCCACTTCACTTTCCTGAGTTCTTCTTTTGCATTACAGAGCTTCTTAATTTTATGTGTTCCCATTTGTTAATTTTGTCTTTGATTGCCTGTACCTGTGGGGTCTTTTCCAAGAACTCTTTTCCTGTGCCAATATCTTTCAGAGTTTCCCCAATGTTTTCTAACAATTTGATGTTGTTATCAGGTCCTAGATTTAGGTCTTTAATCCATTTTGAATGTAGTTTTGTATGCATATACTAAAATTGTAATGATACAGAGAAGATTAGCATGGCCCCTGTGCAAGGATGACATGCAAATTCGTGAAGTGTTCCATATTTTTTAGTGAAATAATAACAAAAAATTTCCTTAACCTGGAGAAAGAAAGGGACATCAAGTACAGGAAGCAAACAGAACTTCTACTACACGTGACCATAAAAGATCTTCATGACAACACTGTAATCAAACTCTCCACAGTAAAACATAAAGAAACGATTCTAAAATGTGCATGAGTGCCAGATTACTTTCAGAGGATCTCCAATTAGACTCACAGTGGATTTATCAGAAACCCTATTGGCTAGGAGAAAATGGCAAGATATATTTCAAATCTTAAGAGATAAGAACTTTCAACCCAGAATACTATACCCTGAAAAACTCTCATTTATGAACGAAGGTAAAGACATTCCATGACAAACAGAAATTGAAAGAATTTGTCACCACCCGCATTTGGTTCTATTAGGGAGTCATACAATTCTAATAGGGCACTGTACAGCAAGTATGGGAAGTGGGCTTTAGCCTAGTCACTAAAACGCCTGTGTCCCAACACAGAGTGCCCTAGGTTCAATTTCCAGCTCCAGCTACTGACTCCAGCATCTCACCAGTGCAGACCCTGGGAGGCAGTGGTGATGGCTCAAATAACTGAAGTCTTGTCATCCTCAGGGAGACTTGGGTGGAGTTCTTGGCTCCAGTCCCAGTCTGGCTCCCACTGTGGAGGGCATTTGAAGAGTGCAACAGCAGATGAGAGTTCTGTGTTCCTCTTCCCCTTTCTCTCTCTCCCCTCCATATCTCTGCCCCCCCCCCATAAGCAGATCGTAATATAATAGGAAACTGGAAAAAAAAAGGAAAGTCACATATCCACATGCTGGATGATGCAATGGATGCTCAGGGAACCCAGGGGAGCAGAGTCTGGTGAGAATCCTGCACTACCACCTGCTCTCTCACCCCATGTAGTGCCTCAATGACCAGCAACAGTCCAGCTCACATAAAACTAGGGAACAGAGTAGAGGCAGAAGGACAAATAACTCACTTACATTTTTGCTTTATATGGAGAGTAGCTCTTTGAAAGCACCAGGAATTGTGTCACAGAGCCTGTCCCAAATCCTCAAAGTTGTCTTCCTTTATCCCCATATTTAGGAAAACAGCTGAAACAATTTAGTTTCATGCAAAAAGTAAGGATACTTCTTTCCCAAGGTTAAAAGATAAAAAGAAAATAAAATGATATAGTTTCAGCACTTAAAATGTTCTAAAAGGTCAGTAATATATTTTTGAATGCTATCAGAGAATTTATCATGAAACTTTAAATTACCATTAAATCACAGCAGAGGATTACATTCCTGACACTGTGTGGGGTGGTGCATAATCACCAAATTGCAGTGGGATGAGAAAAGAGAAATCCTCACTGTAACGTTTCACATGGGATGGTTTGCCAAGAACTTCTCTTTCTCAGAATAGTATTCTGATTCTCCAAAGAGTTATCTATCTAGCTATCTATCATATTCAATATAAAACATATATATAAACCTCAAAATAAGAGTTGTCAGTGCAATTTTCAAAAGTCAGAACACGCAAATATGCTCCTGATACATATACAAAATACTCAATATAACATGTACTTATGATATTCCAATTAAGAGTTCCTTATATCAAGAACTGTTTTAAAAACTCAGGAAAAAAAGAGTATTTCTTAACAAGTTTCCTAAGAAATTTAATAACATTCCCTTAGTTTTTGTTTTATTTTCAATTTTTTTTTTTTTTTTACTTATTGGAAAGTCAAAGGGACAAAAAGAGAGAGCTTCAGCTGCAACAGCCAGGATTTGGTGAGGCCAAAGCCAGGAACCAGGAACTCAATCCAGCTCTCTCATATGGGTGGGAGGAACCCAATGACTTGTGTCATTGCCTGCTGTCTCCAAGGGTGTGCATGAGCAGGAAGCCGGAGTCAGGATCCAGGGCTGGGAATCAAACCAATGTGGACCATCTCGAAGCTGACTACTGCTTCCTTAATTTCTAAGGACAATGTTTTCAAATAAGATGCGCTACAAACTCAAACATCTTTTAGAGTCTGTTCTCCATTATTAGCAATTGAAAGCAGAAGAAAAATATTTTCTTCAGAAAATCAAGTCGTAGATGACAAACATGCAAGTTTCTCTGTCAATTGAAATTTTTTTTTATTTTTTATTTAGTAAATATAAATTTTCAAAGTACAGTTAATGGATTACAATGGCTCCCCCCCCCCCATAATTTCCCTCCCACTCACACCCCTCCCATCTCCCGCTCCCTCTCCCATCCCATTCACATCAAGATTCATTTTCAATTATTTTTATATACAGAAGATCATCAATTGAAAAAATTTAAAATAAAGAAAAATGCTCCCTGCATAAACCACATGTGTGTTTTGCAAATGTACTCTCAGCTCTGATGTGTGAGGACCAAGGCTGCAAGTTTGTGGGCCGAGTCTTGTTCTCCTCAGGGCCCAGGAGGGATTCAGCAAAGCAGGCAGAGGCTGGCCAGAGAGAGAAAGGGCAGCACTAGGACAGCTTCCGCCATTGCCGGCCCCATCTTCCTCGATGTTACTCCTCGCATTAGTCAGCAGCTGAGCAGGAAATGGCAAAGTCAAGTTCCTATAAAATGAAGAAAATCCAGCAGATTTCTGTTCGCAATGACTTCTGGCCTCAAGGGAAGGTGGAATGCTGCTACCAGAGCCTAAGAAATAAGGCTGGGGGCACAGGACAGAAGACAAATCCAGTCCACAGGAGCTGTCGCAGGAGAGGGATGGGGAGGGGATGATAAATACTCTAATCTCACTTTTCTTGCCCCTATTCCAATTAGCTTCCTACAAAAGTTAATAAACAAACAGCTCAGTGTCTTAATACAGCACACAATTACTCTCAGAGTTCTAACAGTCATGAATCTCATGGGGCTAAAATCAACATGTTGGTAGGCCTGGTTCCTTCTGAAAACTCCAGGAGAGTCTTGCTTCTTCAGGCTTCTGGAAGCAGCCAATCTTCCCCACACTTGGGGCTACATCCCTCCCACCTCTGCCTCCATCATCAGAGCTCCTGGTGGGATTTTTACCCCCTCAGTGTGGGGAGCAGGGCCCGTCTCCCGTAACATGGCAGGGCCCGTCGCCCAGGAGACAAATAAGTACTAAGACTGTGGACAAATAAATACTGAGGACAAATACTGAGATTACCGAGACTAGACTAAACTACTGGAACTGCTAAGACTAACTCTATGCACCTGATCTCCCACCATATGGCGCTGAGAGGGAATAAACAACTTCCACACAGCTGCCTCACCAATTCAGCTAACAAGCTGCAGGAGCTGGTCCTGCCCCTGATTGGAGGAGAGCAGCGTGCTCAGCGTGTGGGGAGAGAACGCCAGCAGAGTCGGGATTGGTGGAAGAGGACTATAAAGGAGGAGAGAGACAACATGTACCAGGAACATCTGAGCAACCCCTGAGAGAGCCAGCCAGTGGTGTGCCGCTCCTCTGTGGAAGCGGGGGAAATGGCAGGGGTGCCGCCCCTCCGCGGGGGGGGGGGGGTGCCAGCAGCTAATCTGTGGGGACCGAGGAAAGAGACAACAGCAAATCCATTGCTGCTCCTCTGTGGAGGGGGGGGCAGCTAATCCGGGAGGACCGGGGAAAGAGACAACAGCAAATCCATTGCCGCTCCTCCGCGAGCCTGTGGAGCGAGCGACACCTCAGTTCCTGTTCAGATAGACAATGGATCCACCCAGATCATGCAGGATCATCTCTGGCCTCTTAAGACCTTAGTTTAGTCACTTCTGCTTTTTCTGTCAGAGAAGATGAGATGTTTGTAGGCCCTGGGGATTGCAACGTGCATGTCTCTGGGCATGAGGGCTTTATTCTGCCTTCCTTCTCTGATCTCCCACTGAACCAACTACAGCCAGAGGGCAAAGGGAGATCTTGATGCACTCCATGGCGGTCCGCATCCAGGGCACAGATGGTGGTGAATGGAGGGGATGTGGCTCAAGAGGATCCACCTGTAAGTGCAACTGGGCCTCCCGCCTGGCGCAGGTAAAGCAATCTCCGGCACCATCCCGTTGGACTCCCAACACATGAGAAGGCTCTTCTTTCAACACAAAATGCTTTGAAGGAAAAAAAGGCTCTGCATTTTGGAATGTGGGTCCCACATAGTTTTCGGGTCATTTTCACTTCAGAAGGAAATGCAACAAACTGACTTTTGAACAAAAATTTGAAATGCTATGTAAATGCTGATTTTCAGAGAAATCTTGATTCATTTTAATGATCATCATATTCCCAAAGGTTATATATGTGCTGCGTTGGAATCAGCTATATTTTTATTGGTAACTCACAACTCTTATCTATTTTCAAGTTGAGTGTTGTGTTTTACATTTGTTAAAACTGAAGTTTAATGTTTACTATTTTATTGTGAATTATCTTCAAACTAAAAAATAAAGGAACAGTTCAAAGTCCACTCATTGAAATAAAGGACAAAATTAGTGATGAGATTGGTAAACTGAATTCTAAATTCAAACTTTCGCAGTCCTTGTTGCATCAGTCTGTTCAGCCTGCCCTTACAGGAGACCACAGCTGGGTGGCTTACACAGCAGAAATTTTCTCACAGGCCTGGCAGCTGGAAGTCCACGATCCTGAAGCTGTCGGAGTGAGTGTCCAGACAGGCCTCTCTCTTGGGCTTGCAGCAGCCGCCTGCCCCCTGTGTCCTCACACGGCATTCCTGTGTACTCACCTGGTGAGAAAGCATGTGTCCCTGTGTCTCTCCCTTTCCTGTCAGATCAGAACCCCAGCTTATGACTCCATTAACCTCAATTTCCTCCCTAGAATCCCTATCTCCAAATACAGTCAAATTGCAGGATTAGGACTTCCACATAGGACTTTGAGAGACATAATCAGTTCATAACAATTGTGAGCAGAGCTCCAAGCAGTATGGAATTTGAGATTGCATAGATTGGAACCACTTCATTCAAAAGTGTGACTTCTTCCAAATGGTTGAAAAAGGAAGGAATAGAGGATAAAAAGACAATCCACTATTGATCATCTGAAAATTGCCCTTTAATATACGACGATATGCTTGCCTCCAGCTCCCAGGGAATCCAAAGTTGTGAGATTTTTCTAAAGAGTGGCATGAAGCCATCAAAGCCATCAATCATTTCCAAGGAAAATATGGTAAATTCTCAGCTGAACCAATTGACTTTTCTTTCAAGGAAGGAAAACAACAGAATATTCTCTATAAAAAGCCAGTTTTTCACTTGAAAAAGACAAAGACAAGACCGAAATCTAAATACATTTAGAAAATGAAAAAGACACCATGGGGTGGGATAAAGTAGCAATTTAGAGATTCAGATCCTCTTTATTGAGCGTCTGTTGCGCCCAGGACCTGGAAATAAGAGCTGTTCACACAACCTGGCCTCAACAACATGTTGGGAAACCCAATAATAAATAGGTAAACAAGCAACGTCATCACTGACTGTGATAAATGCTATAAAGTAGACAGGGAGAGGAGACACAGCTGCCCAGTGAAGCTAAGTTAGAAATAGCCAATCTCATCTCTACTTTAGTCAGTGGCCTCCCTAGGAAGGTGAAACTTGAGGGGAGACCTAAGGCAGAAAAGGAAGCAGGCATGCAGAAGGGAGGAGAAACAGGTGCTAACATGCAGGAGGGATACAGCCCCAGAATGTCTGGTACAGAAAGGAGGCTGGTGTGGTGGGAGGTTAGGCCAGGCTGCTATCTCTCTGGTTTCTTTCCCCCACTGGTGCAAATGAAATGACACAATGGGGCATCTTTGGCAGTCACACTCCAACACTGTAAACGATCATGAAAAGAAACTTTTCACACCCAAATGTGGCTGAAATGTGAATCAGGGATTTACACCCTTCAATCTCAGAAGTTGGAACATTCAGTGAGTTTTATCAAAATTGTTTAACTCAGAGGCAGAGAGAGACAGACAAAAAGCACTCCTCTCCACTGGTTCAGTTCTCAAACACTGGCAACAGCCAGGGCTGCGCCACACTAAAGTCAGGAACCAGGAACTTACATTTGGGTCTTCCACATGGGTTCGGTGGCAGGGACCCAAGTACCTGAGTCCTCCTCACCTGCTGTCAGGAAAACTGGAATCAGGAGCAGAGGCAAGAATGGAGCCCAGGCACTCTGATACGACATGGGGGTGTCACAGGCAGCATGGTAGCCGCCACACAAATGCCCACCCCACAGTGGGCTCTCGAGTGGGATACATGCAAGTGCTCATCAAATCAGTGTCCCAGTGTCTGAAAGTGTGCTTGATTAAGAAAACGAGTTATAATTTCTGAGGCCATCCATACCTGACAAAATATCCAAAACTGTAACACAGCATCACCAAACAGTGGTACCATTCCTGACAACTCGGAATTGTAAGGATTTTCATTCCATAGAAATAAAAGGAAATAAATCTGAGTACTGGTGGAATCCAACCTTGCACTCAGACCATGTGCCTACGAGCCTGATTACAAATGAGGCAAAGGAGACTCCATAGCTCACCACCCTTTTCATGCTCTATCACAATTACAGGAAGTACTACCTTCTTGTAAAATATCACTTTATCTTTCTCACTTTAAAACATAGTTTTCAATTAATTAGTAAATACTCTATTTGTCCTGTCTCATGCATACCAGTCTAAGTTCCTTTAAGTTATGAGAAATTATGTGTTTCAGGACACATCTTTATCAATCGTCAAAGATGAAACAGCATGAATAAAGGGGAATGATGCCACAGTCTTGAAAGGAAACCAAAATGTAACACAGTATCTAAGATGCATGTTGTGCAAGGAAAAAAAATCTGAGGGAAAAACAGAAAAGTCCATTTAAGAAGGGGTGAGATCGGCCAGCACCTTGGCTCAATAGGCTAATCCTCCGCCTGCGGCACCGGCACACCAGGTTCTGTCCCGGTTGCCCCTCTTCCAGTCCAGCTCTCTGCTGTGGCCCGGGAGTGCAGTGGAGGATGGCCCAAGTGCTTGGGCCCTGCACCCCATGGGAGACCAGCAGAAGCACCTGGCTCCTGCCTTCGATCAGCGCAGTGTGCCAGCTGCAGTGGCCACTGGAGGGTGAACCAATGGTAAAGGAAGACCTTTCTCTCTGTCTCTCTCTCTCTCACTGTCCAGTCTGCCTGTCAAAAAAAAAGGGGGGGGGTGAGATAAGTGCTGACAGAGGTAATACCTTCCAAACCACTGTCACACATTCAAAAACTTTCAACAGAGTGATAGAGAGCTACTCAAGCTAACAGTGACAGGAAAGTACATTTTAAAAGATATATTTATTTATTTACTTATTTGAAAAGCAGGGTGCGGGGGAGAGGGACAGGGAGAGGGACAGGGAGAAGGAGAGGGAGAGGGAGAGGGAGATGGAGAGGGAGAGGGAGATGGAGAGGGAGAGGGAGAGGGGGACGGAGGGAGGGAGGGAGGGAGAGAATCTTCCATCCAATGGTTCACTCACCAAGTGGTTTCGACAACAAAGCCAGAAGCCAGGAACTTTCTCTGGGCTTCCACGTGGGTGGCAGGGGCCCAAATACTTGCACCATCTTCTGCTGCTTTCCCAGGTGCATTAGCAGAGAGTTGGATCAGAAACGGAGCAGTGAGGATTCTAACCAGTACTCATTATGTGATACCAGGGTCATACACAGCAGTTTAATCTACTGTGCCACAAAACTGGCCATGGAAAAGCACTTTCTGAAATCTCTGATGAACCAGAGGAGGGGAGGGGTGAGAAGAGGAGGGCACTGGTCTGCCTACAAAGTAAAGTAACAATTTAAGCAAGACAAGGCACAAAGAGCACAGGTTTTAAGGATTCAAGAGTATCTCGGTGAAGCAACTGGAAGAAATTCAGCCAGTTTGCAGGCTTGCAGGGTAATCAGCAGGGCCGCCACACACAGCTGTGGAGACTCTACACTGCAAAAATACACCTGCCGAGGGTACTGTAGGGGTGCAGAGGTGGGGCGGGATGGCTGGCAAGCTTACCATGATCCTTTCTGTAAAGGGTGCACTCCTGCATACTGCTACATGCACTAAGTGAGCGCCTCTCACAGGGGATGACTTCTGCCCCCCTGGAAGCACCTACTGATATCTGAACAAGCTTTTGATGATTCCACATCGTGTGAGTGCTATCAGCGTCCAGTGAGTGGAAGCTGGGACTGTGGCGATAGCTATCCCACCCGGGAAAGCCCTCAGAGCACAGGATGACAATCTCCAATGAAAATGAGATGGCATTTTCTTTTTTATTTTTATTTTCTTTTTTATTGTTTTTGCCACGCAGAGTTAGACAGTGAGAGAGAGACACAGAGTTATAGACAGTGAGAGAGAGACAGAGAGAAAGGTCTTCCTTCCGTTGGTTCATTCCCCTAATGGCCACTACAGCCAGTGCTGCGCCGATCCAAAGCCAGGAGCCCGGAACTTACTCCTGTTCTCCCATGTGGGTGCAGGGACCCAAGCACTTGGGCCATCCTCTGCTGCCCTCCCAGGCCACAGCAGAGAGCTGGACTGGAAGAGGAGCAATCAGGACTAGTACCCGGCGCCCCAACCATTACTGGAACCCAGGGTGCGGGCGCTGCAGGTGGAGGATTAGCCAAGTGAGCCAAGGCACCGGCCTGAGATGGCATTTTCTAATTCATATAGAGTTTCACCCAGTGAACCACACATGGAGCTCCCCAAAGGACAACCTTGTCTTAATCCACACAAAGGTCCTTGTGGAACCCACTGTCATATCCCAGGTCTCATGTGTGCTCTCTATTTCTCCTTTGCTTCCTCTATCTTTCTTTGTCTGCTCTCGTTGAAACTGCCAGCCATAGAATCAATTCCTAACTAAGATGATGGAGCCATGTTTCTGGTCTTGCCACCATGGTGGTCAGAACAGGTATGACAGGGATCATCTGAACTGAGCATAACACCCTTCATGCTTTTGTTTATGAAAAAAAATGACGGAATGGGGCCAGCACTGTGTCATAGCAGGTAAACCACCACCTGCAGTGCCGGCATCCCATATGGGCGCCAGTTCAAATCCCGGCTGCTCTACTTCCGATCCAGCTCTCTGCTATGGCCTGGAAAAGCAGTAGAAGATGGCCCAAGTGCTTGGGCCTCTGTACCCATTCAGGAGACCTGGAAGAAGCTCCTGGCTCCGGGCTCTAGCCATAGCAGTCATGTGGGGAGTGAACTAGCAGATGGAAGAGCTTGCTTGCTCGCTTGTTCTCACTCTCTCTTTCTCTTCCTCCCTCTCTCCCTCCCTCTCTCTCTGTAACTCTGCCTTTCAAATAAATAAAATAATAAATCTTTAAAAAAAACTTATGGAGAGTGTGGTCCCCGTACTCTAGAACTTTCCAACAGCAATGATGTGTGGTTAAATACACAGGTCAAATGGTTTCTGTGGTTGTTTGACATGACCTGAGGGGAGAACAGAAGAGCAGGGACAAATGAGCGAAGCTGGAACTGCTTTGTTTATGACAGCTCTAGAAAATGCAAGCAAATAGATCGAGTACCAGGCAGCAACAGTTTCAACTACTGTGTTTTGAACACAGACTGCAATAACCTAAGAACCAAGTGTTAATGGACAAAAAGCAATGAGTGGAGCTCTTATGCCTACCACAACTGTGTTGGGGTTCTTGAAGAAAAATATACTGAGAATAATATCAGCAGGAAGCATCATATTCTAAGCAAACTAAACAAGTAGGTGGAACACTGATTAATCTCAACTGTACTAGACAGAAGCACTTCAGTGGTTCCCAGGCATTGGTGTCTCTTTATAACCTACTTCAGGTACAAGCTCTGCTTCATGTTTAAATGTAAATTAGCCGCGACTCACTAGGCTAATACTCTGCCTGCAGTGCCGGCACACCGGGTTCTAGTCCCGGTCAGGGCGCTGGATTCTGTCCGGGTTGCCCCTCTTCCAGTCCAGCTCTCTGCTGTGGCCAGGGAGTGCAGTGGAGGATGGCCCAGGTCCTTGGGCCCTGCACCTGCATGGGAGACCAGGAGAAGCGCCTGGCTCTGGGCTTTGGATCAGCGCAGTGCGCCAGCCGCAACGGCCTTTGGAGGGTGAACCAATGGTAAAGGAAGACCTTTCTCTCTGTCTCTCTCTCTCACTGTCCACTCTGCCTGTCAAAAAAATGTAAATTGGCCATTAGTAATCAATAATACAGCCTTATTTTGCAAAAGACACATTATACTAGAACACCGAGGATGTCCTGAATTGTGCCTGTTTCACAGGGATCTCAAGCATGACCACCTTATAGTATCTCTAGGCCTGAAAAAAAAAAAATAATCCCCCAGCCAGTACTTGGCCATGTGCAGTTGCAGCTTGCGGCTTCCCAGGTCTGACTCTGAGTTTCTGGTTATGCAGGAGGTAGAGGTTGGGAGTAAGCAAATGCAACTGTGAGGCAGGCTCCAACACCCTTGCAAACTCTGGGAGTTCTGCAGCTCCTTGAACACCCAGAACTATCCAGGCAGCCTGGGGCTGTCAGTACTGCACCAGTCAGACAAAATATGTAATCATCAGGAGAAGGAAGACCAGGAGCGAGGCAGCTCTCTGCCTCTGCCTCCACTAAAGGGGCCGAGAGCAGGAGATGGAGGCAGAGTCTTCCGCTGTAGGGATGTGAGAGGCACATCACAGTGCCTAAACACCGTTAGCATACTGAAAGAACTGAATGCAGTAATACTGAGCCTTTCCCTCCCCTATTTCTGTTCACCCAACCAGCACTTACTAAGCACTTCCTTTGGGCAGGCACTGTGTTAAGCAACCTCCACAAGGGAGCCTTCATCCCGTGCCCAGTCTGTCCACTGTCCCTCACTACCTTAGTAAGTCCTGGCTGGCATCATAGAACACCACAGTCTGGGTGCCTTGATTATTTATTTCCACGGCTCAGGAGCCTGGGAAGTATAATATCGCGGCACAGCAGATCATGCACCCTCTCACTGTGTCCTCTCATGGCAGACAGGGAAAAGCACACACTCCTGTCCCCTGTAAGATCACACAGCCCAGTCATTAGAGTGCCACCCTCCTGACCTAATCAACCACAATAGCATCCTCTGGAGAGAACTCTAGGTGGACACAAACATGTACCTGTAATACACACACCCACCCCAGCAGGACCCAAAGCAATGCAAGCACTTTGTACTTGAAGGTAAGTATTCCAAGGGCATGGTTAATATGAGAGCTTACTCTAGTTTATATCTAGCTATAAAAATTAGAAGTGGGTAAGAACCAGAGACAGTGAAGTGAGGAAAGGAAAAGATAACTTATTGTTTTAGGGGTGAAAGTGGCAGAGTAGGGTAGAAGGGATGAAAGTGGCCTTTGGTCCCATTAGACCTGAATCCAGATTTCTTTTTCTCTGCCTATAAGCAATGTGACCCAATCTTCTTTTAATTTTGTTTTTTTTTTTTTTAATTATAAACAAATGTCTAACTTGCATGATCTTTAGCAGAGTTTGACAAGTGCAGGGCAAAACGTTGGTGCCAACAGTAACCTACCTGTGGTGGTCGCACGCTCTCCGTCAGCTCTGCCTCCAGCTCACCACCACCACCACCACCAGCACCACAACCAGAGCTTCCTTCCAGAAGTCAAACAACAGGAGCCTTCAGTGTGACACGACCACAAGCACACCTCAGTTACAGGACGAGCTGAATGCTATTACTCATCAAGATCCAAGAGCTGTGTTTCTGGGCCATGAAAGACTCTTCCTACTTTCAACTTCACCTGAGATTTACTCTTATCAAAAATGGATTAAGCCCTAAGCCACATCCCACAGCGGAATCCAGAAAACAAAGGCAGCAGGGAAAAAAGAGAGCAGCCTTTGCAGAAGGAGGCAGGGCAGAAATGTGGTTCACACACCGATGGGATCGAGGCGTCCTTGGTAATAAGCATTCAGCAAGGATGCTATGAAGCACATTAGGAAGAGGCAGTCCTTTTGAAATAGGATGAGAAAAAAAAAAGAAAAAAAAAAAAACCTTGCTTAAAATCTCAACTTTGAGAAATTGCAGCTGCCTGGAAGTTTCTGCCAACTATATTAAGTGGCTTGAAAATAAGAAGGAGCAGCCAGCCAGAGCCGCCCAGGAGCCAGCCAGAGCAGCACAGGAGCCAGCCAGAGCCAGCCAGAGCCACCCAGGAGCCAGCCCAGAGCTGCCCAGGAGCCAGCACAGAGCCGCCCAGGAGCCAGCCAGAGCTGCCCAGGAGCCATCACGTAGCCACCCAGGAGCCAGCCAGAGCCGCCAGGAGCCAGCCAGAGCCGCCCAGGAGCCAGCCAGAGCCACCCAGGAGCCAGCCAGTGCTGCCCAGGAGTCAGCCAGTGCCGCCCAGGAGCCAGCCCAGAGCCGCCCAGGAGCCAGCCCAAAGCCACCCAGCAGCCATCACGTAGCCACCCAGGAGCTAGCCAGAGTCACCCAGGAGCCAGCCAGAGCCGCCCAGGAGCTAGCCAGTGCCACCCAGGAGCCAGCCCAAAGCCGCCCAGGAGCCAGCCAGAGCCGCCCAGGAGCCAGCCAGAGCCGCCAGGAGCCAGCCAGAGCAGCACAGGAGCCAGCACAGAGCCGCCCAGGAGCCAGCACAGAGCTGCCCAAGAGCCAGCCAGAGCAGCCCAGGAGCAGCAACAAGTGGGGAGATGGTGCCACTGTCCTTAGACATCCTTGGTCAAGGTGCTAACGCTAAGGAGCTGAATCAGAAGTGAGACACCAGCACCTCCCTCTGGGGTTATCAGGGCTAGTGTCTGGGTGTAGAATAATGCATCTGTGGTTATTGTACCAAATTCACCTCCTATCACATTCTGCCAACATTTATTATCTCCAGGAATGCCTGAGTGTCCAGCCCCTCCAGGTGTTATTCCAGAGGGGTGCCTGGGCCACGGCCTCCCGCAGCAGTGGTTCCATGTGCTTGCAAGTGAAGTCACACAAGAAGCCTCCTGGTACCCACGACAGGGATGGTGCCTTGTTCCTCACATGGTTTTAAATGTTATGTCTCATTTGTCTTCCCAACCCTCACACCATAATCTCTTCTGGAAGACATGTCTCAGGAGGTCGCCTAGCTGTGCCCAGCTGGGGAGGCCACTGAGCTACTTGCTGCAAAGCCTGTTGTCTTCTGCTCTTTTCCACTTCTCTCACTCTTATCTCCTCCACACCCACTAAGATAAGAAGAAAAAGAACCATGGGGCCAGCATTGTGGTATAGTGGGTTAAGCTGCAGCCTGCAACGCCGGCATTCCATATGGGTACCAGTTTGTGTCCCAGCTGTTCCACGTTCAATTCAGCTCCCTGCCAATGTGCCTGGGAAAGTAGCAGAAGATGGCCCATGTAGCTGGGACCCTTCACCCACATGGGAGACCCAGAAGGAGTTCCAGGCTCCTGATTTCAACCTTGCCCATCTCCAGCTGTGGTAGCCATTTGAGAAGTGAATCAGCTGATGAAAGATCTGTTTCTCCCTCTATCTTTCAAATAAATAAATCTTTACAAAAAAATTCTATGTTCCTAAATCTGTATATATTAAACTCATGAAACTTGCTTACCTTAAATAAAATAAAATGTAAAAAACCCTTCTTCTATTAAAAGTCCTTCCATTCTATGAACGTGTTCTGTTTCCATGGGCGCCAAGGAGCACACACTTTTATCTTTCCCCATTTTCCTTTGTGTGACTCGGTCGTGCCGGTGGCCATCTCGTCTTCTTCCCCTCACTGCTGCTAAAGGCATCAGGAATGAGGGACCTCTCTCGGGCTCCTCAAGGCAAAACTCCTTGGCTCCAGTCAGACTCAGAGGCTCTGCAGGCCTGAGCCCATTATCCATATGATACGTGACATTCCCATCTGAGACACATCATTCACTCATGTGCCCAAAAATCAACTTTTGAAGATACTCGTCTGCTCCTGAACTGCTTCCCAATTTGCAGTCTGAGAAAGCAAACGGTTAACACTCCTAAAGACTCAGAAGAACCCAGGGAGAACTCAACTGTTAAAGGAGCAGATTAGTACTGCAAAGAATGTAACAGTTTGATACCCTACTTCAGCCATGGGGACAAACGTTAATAATGTGAAGAAATCAGGTGTGAGTATGCCATTTGGGTGCCATGGGGTCCAGCGTGAACCCTGGCTTGAAAGGGGCATACTCCTGACCCAGACTTCTTCAAGTGTTGCTCTGCTGTGAAATGGCATGGAAGAGCTTAGAGGAACAAAGCTTCAGAGTAAAATTTCCAGTATGGAAGTCCAGGTTCCACCATGGTTCAATCTGAGTCTTTGGAGATGTGAGGCTTGTTAAGCATCCCAATCATGCCCAATAGTTCCTTGCATTGTCTTCTTCTTGGTGCATCATTTTTTTCTCTAATTATATCGATTTTGGTAAATTGCAGCATCCATCTAAGCTGATTTTCAAATATGAACAGCAAAAGCTTTCAATGAAGGAGAAAAACAAATGCACTATGCACCACCAAGATGCATTATTCCTTCAAACTTTCTACGGGAGAAAAACAGGCATGAGAGGGAAGTAAAAACTGCCTGATGAAATGATGGGATTCTGAAAAATAAACAGGCACTTCAATTCCAGGCAATCATAGCGACACCCCTTAAGTGTTCATTATTCTTCTTGCCTGAAAACCAGGTAAAAATCAAGGGTTGAATCTATATTTACAATTTCAAGTTTATGCCTCAGAGGGTGATCAGGCGACAAATCAAAAACTAAGTGATGTTTTAAAATCAAACTATTGAGTACTTTCATCAGCCATAGAGAAGAGCAGCCTGTGTGCTACTGGAAATACCTGCTTTCCTTTTGAAAACAGAATATATTTCTGTGTGTTTCACTGCCACTCTCAAGGCTCCTGTCAGCTTCCGACACGACTCCGCTGTGAACTCTCTCGCACTGGCCGAGACCTCAGTCTTGAATGGCAGGTCCCTCTTTCCTGCAGTCAGCACCAGACAGCCACCCCCATGCCACTCAATCACGCATTCATTCATTTCAAAATACTTAACAAACTCTGAGCACCACATCCTTTCTGGGTAGTGTTACGAGCTTGATGATTGACTAGAACAAGCATTGTCCCCACATGTTCTCCTGAACCAGGGTCCACACTTTTCCCCCCTGACCTGTTCTGTGTCCATCAGTGATACCCCCACTCTGTGGCATGGACACCAGCCTCCTCCTCTCCACATCAAAGGTCCAGCTGAGGCCTTACAAGGCCTGTCCCCACGCTGCTTTCCAATAGATTAACTCAGCAGCTTCCCACTGGCTTTCCACTTCTCATCTTCCCCACTGCCCTAATGTCACACTGAGTGCTGGGAAAAATGGGAAAATGAACAGAGAATCTTGTTGTAGACTCTCCCTGGCTCTGCCACTGACTGCCACTCACACACAGTTCCAGTTAACTAGAGCCTTTTCCCTTGTGGAGTGAAAATGGATCACTCTATACCTGGTATACGGCATGTGTGTGATGGTGGGCAGGGAGGTGAGTAGTTGAAAACCCTAAAGTTTCTCTAAACAAGCCTTATTTGTCCAGCTCAGGCAAGCCATCCTCTGTAGCTGATGGGTCCACCTGAGGTTTGTCAGTGTCTTGCAACAGGAAACAGGTGTAATGCAACTCTAGACCTCGCGATCCCCTCTCCAAATCCAGACCAGTCTGCTTCCTGGCCCTCAAGAGACACTTCAAATGGGCCCCATTTATGACCTCAGCTGTGCTTGCTTGTGGCAGATTTCTGGAGTCCTAGAGATCCTATGAGTACAGAGGACTCTGTAGGGGACAGCCCTACTCTTACATGTGCCACAAAGCAAAATAAGTCTGATTAATTTCCAACCCCCATCTCTGAGAACTCAAAATCAATCCTCCAAAGAAAATGCTTCGAGTAGGCTTACAAGGTCATTCCCACTGTGCTGTCAAGAGTTTTTCCCGTATAATGCATAATTCTGATTCTTAATCTTCTATTGGGGCTCCAGATGGTTTCAACAATCACTGGCATTTGGAATGGTTGTATCTGGATCAACATCCTCTAATCCTGGTTCTGTCCTCACATCCAGATCTAGGGATGTTGTTACACCTGAAAGCCAACAGAACTGCTTCAGGATCCCGTAGACAGCCCCATTTTTTCCTGTACCCCAGTTCTGTCTGGACTGGGTGCAGTGATGCTTCCTCTCAGAGACAGTGGGCTGTGGATCAGTCAGGATGGGCTGAGTTGTGATCCATAACAAATAATTCTCAGTTGGTACAGACAAGTTTGTTTTCCTCCTATTTCCTTCCCATCTTGGGCACTATTGTTCCTATACCCAGGGCCTTTCTCACAATCTTCCCATTGAAGAAAATTCACATTGTATGGGGTATGGCCAGCCTCATAGCCATAGCTTATTTCAAAGACAGGCAAGAGGAGAAGCAGAGTAACACAGCCCCACCCAGGAACAGGGAGGAGGGCAAAACATTGGATGGACAGTGTTGTGATCACCACACAGGTTCCCTGAGCTCTGCTCTCCACTGAGCAGCCTGGGCCACTGTCTGATCAGACACTTACTTCTTTTAGGAATCTCCCACTCATCTAATAATGGCTGGACTTTCTTTACCTACCTAATAACAGTATCTACATGATTGTGCTGTTTTCAGGGAATAAATGAATGGAAACAAACCTGTGTCAGCCTGACTCATAGTTAACGCTATATGAGTAAATGTTATTTTATCATTGTTGCTGTTATTACCAGCGTTGCTTATGGCCTTGAGTTAAACTGAATTAAGTCCCAGGAGATTACTCTCTGCATCCATATTTAAGCAATAAAAATAAATAATCTTTTATTCTCTTAAAAACTGGTTATAGTCCTAGGATAATAACATGAGTACTTGAGTACCTACTGTCTGCCAATCATGTGTTTTAATCAATCTTAAAAAGTAAGATCTCTGGGAGCTGGCATTGTTGCATAGTGCATAGAGCCACTACCTGAAATGCGGGCATCTCATATGGGCTCTGGTTCATGTCCTGGCTGCTTAACTTCTGATCCAGCTCCCTCTTAATGGCCTGGGATATCAGTGGAAGATGGCCCAGGTACTTGGGTCTCTGCACCCATGTGAGAGACCTAGAAGAAGCTCCTGGCTTCAGCCTGGCCCAGAACTGGCTGTTGCAGCCATCTTGGGAGTGAATAAGCAGATGGAAGCTAGTGCTCCTGTGCTCGCTCGCACGTGTGTGCTCTCTCTCTCTCTCTTTCTCTCTCTCTCTCCCTCCCTCCCCCTCTTCCTTTCCCTCTCTCTTATTTCAAAATAAATAAATCTTTTAAATAAATAAATAAAATCTTTTTTTAAAAAAAAGAATGATCTCTGAAGATGCTGTGTCCTACACAAATGTACATATGTTTATATGGCATATCTGAATTTTCCCAACTTCCACTTATATAAAGTAAGACAGATTCAGGCAATGTAAGAGAATTCCATTCATTTCTATTAAAAATCTATTGTTTGAAGCAGAGTCAAAGTATCAGAACCTAATTTTAAGAATAAATTAAGAATTATATTACAAAATATTCTCATGGCCTCAAGAATATATAGGTCAACCAAATGTATACTTTACATAAATTGTTAAATATCAAAGATAATCTATGAAAGAATTTTCTGGGTTATGAATAGCATTTCTACAGTGATGAATTTTATAAGAAAACTTAAGATATTTACAGAATTCTGTATCTTCAAATGAATTACCAAGGGCAGTTGTTTGGCACTTTTTTTTTTAACTTTTATTTAGTAAATATAAATTTCCAAAGTACAGTTTATGGATTACAATGATTTTCCCCCCCATAACTTCCCTCCCACCCACACCCCCCCATCCCACACCCTCTCCTCTCCTTGCCTCTACCTCTCCCCCTCCCCCCCCTCCTCCTCCCCCTCTCCCTCTCCTTTACCCCCTCTCCCTCTCCTTCCCCCTCTCCCTCTTCCTCTCCTTCTCTCCCTAACTCTGCCTTTCAAATAAATTAAATATTATCTTTTTTAAAAAAGGGCACTGTTGCCGGCGCCGAGGCTCACTAGGCTAATCCTCCGCCTGCGGCACCGGCACACCGGGTTCTAGTCCTGGTTGGGGCGCCGGATTCTGTCCCGGTTGCCCCTCTTCCAGGCCAGCTCTCTGCTGTGGCCAGGGAGTGCAGTGGAGGATGGCCCAAGTATCTGGGCCCTGTACCCCATGGGAGACTAGGATAAGTACCTGGCTCCTGCCATCGGATCAGTGCGGTGCGCCGGCTGAGGCAGCCATTGGAGGGTGAACCAACGGCAAAGGAAGACCTTTCTCTCTGTCTCTCTCTCTCACTGTCCACTCTGCCTGTCAAAAAATAAAAATAAAAAATTAAATTAAAAAAGGGCACTGTTTGGAATGCCTGTATCTAATATTAGAGTGCCTAGTTCAAATCCTGGCTCCTCACGTCTAGTTCAGCTTCCTGCTACTGAACATCCTTGTAGGAATCGGGTCATTGGCAAGTAGCTGGGTGCCTGCCTCTCATGTGGGAGACCTGGACTGAGGTCCAGACTGCTTGATTCAGCCTGGCCAAGCCTAGCTACTTGGCTAAAGAATGCATTTGGGAAATGAAACACCAGATGGGGGTGTCTCTCCCTCTCTCTCTCTCTCTCTCTTTCCCTCTTAATCTCCCTCTCTCCCTTCTCCCCCCCCCATCATTCCCTCTCTCACTCCCTCTTTCTTCAAACATTGAAAATAAATAACTTTTAAGAAAAATAATTACAGAGCCCATCAACAGCTCTTGCTCTGCTGAGCCTCACCGTTAAGTCTAATTCAGGCGAAAGCTTTTGCTTCTCACTTCTGAACTGGAAGTACTTCAGGAAGCTCCGGGTACCCAATGTAAAAGTCTACAAGATAAGCCTGCCTAGCCGCACTTAGACTAAGACAACTGGACAATCACCACTACTCATCACTCAGAATCAGTAAAGACAGTGACTGGCTGGTGTTGTGGGGTAGCAGGTAAAGCCGCCACCTGCAGTGCTAGCATCCCATATGGGTGCTGGTTCAAGTCCTGGCTGCCCCACTTCTGATACAGCTCTCTGATATGGCCTGAGAAAGCAGTGGAAGATGGCCCAAGTCCTTGGGGCCCTGAAGCTGTGCGGGAGACCCTGAAGAAGCTGCTGGCTCCTGGCTTTGGATTGGCACAGCTCTGGCCATTGTGGCCATTTGGGGAGTAGACCTCTCTCTGCCTCTGCCTCTCTGTAACTCTGCCTTTCAAATAAATAAGTAAATCTTAACAAACAAACAAACAAACAAAAACAAAAACAGTGTTTCCAGGCAATAGCAGTTGCTCCAGTGGCTGGGCTTGTGCATGAATGAGTGTGTGCATTAACTCAACATTTCTCCTCAATATCCCTCCCCTTTCCTTTTGCCTCCCAGTCAGAAAACAAGTAACAACAGGGAATGTGAGTGTGCAAATTCCTTTTTCTTCCATTCAAGTTCAGAAAACTCACATTAAACATCATATTTTGTACTCAAGGATTTAAGAGGGAGGAAGAGAGGGAAATATCATTCTAAGAACTGTATCTATGAACTACATTAAATTTGTTTTCTTTATATTAAATAAATAATTGGAAGTGAAATTAAGATGAATTAGCACACAATGCTTGATTTCCTAATAGATGTGCCCTTACCCATTTTTCTCAGGATGACCACATTAGGGCACTAACTGGCTACCATCATACTTACTTGACTGCCTTCTAAGAGTTAATGGGGCTGGTGCGGTGGCATAGCGGGTAAAGCTGCCACCTGCAATGCCAGCATCCCATATGGGTGCCAGTTCGAAGGCCCACCTGCTGTGGCCTGGGAAAGCAGTACAAGATGGCCCAAGTCCTTGGGCCCTACATCCACATGGGAGGCCCACAAGAAGTTCCTGGCTCCTGGCTTCAGATCGGCACAGCTCTGGCAGTCGCAGCCAACTGGGGAGTAAACCAGCAGATGGAAGACCTCTTTCTCTGCCTTTCCTTTTCTCTCTGTGTTATTCTGACCTTCAAATAAATAAATAAATCTTTAAAAAAGAGTTAATGTTTACTGATATTACTGATATACAGAAATTCTCAGTAAAAATGTGCCCAATCAAAATGATATCCAAACACTAGCAACACCTGCAAAACTAGAGGTAGTCCAGTCCATTGGGAGGGTGTCATCACACGTCATCATACCTGGACTGCCTTCAGAGAGCTGTCCCTAACATTAAGTAAGATAAATATGTGTTGATGAGAGACAAACTTGAACCAGAGTGAAAGTCTGCCTCAACAAGAACTTGCTGGCAGTAATAAATTGGCATCCTAACCCCACCATGAGCAAGGGAAAATCAAATCATTTGTCCTCTGTCACAGAGGATTTTTTTAAGATGTATTTATTTATTTGAAAGACAGAGTTTGAGAGAGAGAGAGAGACAGAGAGAGAGAGAGAGAGAAAATGATCTTCCATCCACTGGTTCATTTCCCAAATCATCACAATGGCCAGAGATGGGCCAGCCAGCTTCTTCCCGGTCTCTCACATGATATGCAGGGACCCAAACAACTGGGCCATCTTCCACTGCTTTCCCAGGCACATTAGCAGAGAGCTGGATAGGAAATGGAGCAGCCAGGACTCAAGCCAATGCCTACATGGGATGCTAACATCTTAGGCTATGCCACAATGCCAGCCCCAAAAGATGTCTTAAAGATACAGCCCAAGCTCTTTTTTTTAACTTTTATTTAATAAATATAAATTTCCAAAGTACAGCTTTTGGATTACAGTGGCTTTCCCCCCCCCCATAACCTCCTTCCTACCCACAACCCTCCCTCCTGCTCCCTCCCCCATCCCATTCACATCAAGGTTAATTTTCAATTATCTTTATATACAGATCGATTTAGTATATACTAAGTAAAGATTTCAACAGTTTGCACCTTTTAATCTTCTGTAAACTCCTTTGGCTTCAATTTTCATTATCAACTGTAAACTCACAATATTTAACTGTACATCCTTCAAAACAATACTCCTCTTTAACAGGGCTTAATCTGTGCCAAGAGGAATTGCAACCACAGAATGGAAAAGGGGTCACAATTAGCCTCTCATGGAGTCCTGTGGGAATCTTCTCCTGCTGGAGGAGGGGAAAGACAGGGATTATGCAAAGCTGGCACAGTGGTTCTGACACTCCAGGGGAAGCCTGCATTCCAAATTAGAATGCCTGGGTTGAGTACTGGCTCTGCTCTCTGTTCCAGCTTGCTGTTAACCTGTGTCTGTCTGCAAGACAAAGGTGATGGTGATGGTAGTCAGGTGTCTGCTGCCCTGTGGAGATTTAGATTGAGTTCCCAGTTCCTGGCTAAGGCCTGGTGCAGTAGGCACTGGGGAGTGAGCCAGCGGACGGAAGTTATCTCTGTCTCTCCCTCTCTCCTTCTCCCTGCTTTTCAAATAAATAAAATAAATAATCCACTAATCTGTCTTGTCAATGAGCATTGAAGGTCACTTAGAAAAGGCTTCTCACATGATTGGAATATGAGAACTCCCTAAGGAACACACTAAAAATTATTAATTTATCACATTTCCTACTCAAAGATATTGAAGTAAAACTATTAATCACCCAAGATCATATGAAGTCTAACTGGGAATAAGGCCAAAGAGGAAATGCTTAGAGTAAACATAAGCTTTGTCCAGTCTCTGATCATAAGGCATATAATAAATTATATTATTTGAAGAAGAAAACATTAAAAAAAAATTGGACCAAGAAATCCTCTAAATGATTCTTGCTGGAACTGGTCTACTATGCTGCGGTAGGCTGTTCTTACCTGTTGCTGTTCATGAGTCAGCAGCCAGCTAACTCCACCTCACACGATGTACTTCCAAGGGGGTTGGAGGAGAGACCTGGCTGACCACCCCTAATATATTTCATGTTACCTTTCAGGAAAACCAGAAGGGAATCACTGATCTGATTTACTCCACAGTATGCTCTGCTGTTTCTTATATATTAACCCTACACAAGTGTTCATGTCTTCCTGAGCCATGGATAAAGCCGACATACCATTACAACAGCAGGAGTCACAACCTCACACACATAGGAAGTGTGTCCTTTGCAGAGGATGGCAGACAGGAAAGCGCATATCCCTCACCCCTCACCTGAAGGACTGCAAATACACAATGGGAAAAAGAAAAGTAATTACCATGTGAAAAACAATTATACTTCTACTGACTGGACTGGAACATCCCACCATCCCCTAATCTGTGGTTTCTAACCCAGATGCATTTAAAAAGGCACACTTTTCCCCAAAAAAGGATAGTTTTTATGTAAAGTAATATCTTAGCACCTATAGAGGAATCATATCTCCCATTTTTGGATGACAGTATAGTTGCTGTAAGTATATGTGGTGTGACACTTAGTGTTTGATAAAAACCTTTGTATCTAAAAGAAAGAGAGAAAAAAAATCTACACTAAGATTTCATACAACTTCTGAATTAGGTGTCTACTTACACCTTTATTTGCCCACCGCACTCACTTGCCCACCACATCCACTTGCCCCAGAGGTTGTGTCTCCATCAAGTCCAGGGCCTGGAAGGAAGGCAGGCTTCCGACTGAAGAGCTGCTGTCCTCCAGGCCTGAAGGACATCAGAGCTTGCATTCTATGGGTTTGCTAGAGGCTGAAGCTGCTCTTCCTCTTGGAGTTTTTATAGCCTCATCGCAACCTCTTTGGGGGCTTCTCCCCTGCAGTCCTCACGTCAGGTAGATGCAACCCTGGCTGGGATCATCTCTCCCCAGGGTACTGGGAGCACCCCATGGTCACCTCCACCCCATGCTAAGGGCTCTGCAGTGAACTGTGGTCCACATCAGTCCACAGGAAACACCTCATGTCTCAGAGCACCAGGAGGATCAACCTGCATGCAGGAATAAGGAGCTTGGCTCAGCTCTGCCCAAAACCCAGAGGCACACGCTGTCCCTGTTTCTGCAGAAAGCACATTTCAGAATACTTCAAACCAGGACCCAGGTGGACCAGGTCTCCAACTCAGCTGCACCCTCTCCAGGGATGTCCCTCACTCTTCTCCACACCCGAATTCTCTCATGTCCTCGAAGTGGGTGAAGAGTGGGAAACAGGCTCCCGGAGGCTTCTCCTCTGCATTCTGACAGGCCTAGGGAGGGCGTCCCCTCCTTCAGATCTGATAGTCATTGTCTCAGTGCCCTTTGCAATCCACAGCAGGCAGCCCCCATTCTAACACAGGCAGACACATACATTTGCTTACATAATCAATACAGTCATGCTCACGCCTAATTTCTACCACCAGTCAATCAAAATAATCACATTTTTCCTGGGTTTTGGAAACAAGTTCTGATAATGCAAGATGACTATGATGCACACAGCTATTCTATAAAAGGGCTAACCTGGAGTTCTCTCAAGAAAAACAGAGTTTTCAAGAAAAACGGGCAAAATTGTACTGAGCATCAGCAAGGTGACATAAAACAACAGAAGAGATGTAAATAAGGGTTTCTTTGGCACAGCTCTAAACACACCAAAGAAGAAAATGAGCCTCGCTTGTGACCTCTCATTTCCATAAGCTGTTTATGGATTCGGGGGTCAGCATTTACAGAGACACTGTGATGTGGACAGGCTCGTGGGGAATGAGAATGTGGCACGGCACTATCTGTAAATATGTCACCAGTAGATTGTAAGGAATGTTGAGTAAGATGTTAAAATAAAACAAGAAGCTGTCATCTGACATGCAGATCTGTGTTTCTAATACCACTGAATTAAAACCAGAAAGCAAAGAAAGACTTCTTGGAGAAAGAGCTGAATGTAGGTTGGGGCAGGAAATGTGCAAGATGACACGAAAGCAATTTGTACCACAAAATACAAGGAAGCACTTAAAAAATAGTAATGAACTAGAAAGGGGCGTGTCACCTGGCCAAGGAAACCAATCTGAAAGGGATCCCAGTGGCTAACGCAGTAACAACCTGAAAAATAAAAATAAAATAGCTCCATCGTGTGGTGCTGGATTACAAAACAAAGTAAATATGTGCTCATGGATACACGAGCACATATTGGTATACATGTGTGTACACATATATAAACAATAAAGGATAAATAATACTTAATAGTTTAAACACTGCACAGTATATCAATATTTTCTTCTCCATAAAGTGGAGCTGTGCCCCTTCCCTCCTTACCCCCTAGAGTGTCAACTTGACTTTGTGACTCATAGCCAACAAATGAGTTGGAAAGCAGGACTGAGGTAGGGGAGTAAATAATGACTTTACAGGGGATAGAGCTGGCAAACTATCCAGACCAAGAGATTAGTTTTCACATGCCCAGTGATAAGTCAAGTCAACACACCTTATGGCATGTCCAATGATGTCACCACCAGGTAACTTATGAGGTATCCAGTAGTTTCACAAACCCAGTGTTAAGTCCCATCCACGCATTTTCTGCTACAACGTGATGAGGAGCACTTTACCTCCATGGTCTTCTCAAAAACCATCACTCCAGTCCAAACACAATGAAAACATCAGACAAACACAATCTAGGGGCATTATATAGGATACCTGGCCAGTGTTCCTTGGGGCTCTCCAAGGACCAGCTAGGAAATTGCCACTGACTTGAGAAAAAAACTAAAGAAACACAATGGGTGGAGCCAAGCTGGTGACTAAGAAGCTCCAGCAACCACCTCCCTGCAGAGACAACAATGTGCACAGTCATGCGCACACCCAGTCACTGTAACAAGAGCTATGGAAGCCAGGTAAGACACCACAGTATCCTGTCCTATTATAACCCTAAGAAAAGCTGCATTGAAGAAAGCAGGAAGGAGAGTTGACCGCATCATCCTGCCCCAGCTCCAAGGGGCATGTATGGAGACACCTTTTACTAGGGAGAGGAAGAGTGAATTGAAGCCCAGTGGCAGGTACCCTATGCAAAAGATCAGTCTTACTGAGCTCCCAACCCCTGTCTTTAAGCCCATTCTATAGCGTGAATATTTGGAGCTAGCACAGTCAGGCAGCTTCTAACTCCTTTCCCTCAACAACTGGAAGAAAATGAAACTCCAGCCATTCACAGAAGTAAGGAGGAGCTTGGGAGAGTGCCTTGGAACACAGAGCTGTGCCTGTATCAACCAGAGCTGGTACCTGAAAAAGCCCAAAGGCTCTATGCCCAAGCCAGTGTTCACGGCTGAGCCTCTAGACTTATCTAGTATCAGGAGGAGAGGAGCACTTCGGGGGGTCAGACTCATTTTGTGGGGGTGTCACTGCTGGTCTCAGGTGGGGTTGGTGAACACCCCTCATGGGACACTGATTACAGACTGTGGGATCCAGGTGTGGGTACACTGGGTCCAGCCTAGATGGCCTGGAATCTGCATTTATCACCCTTTTCCAACCTTGGGTAGACATCAGGGGCCAAAGGTTTGTCTCATGACACACTGCCAGGTTGGTACAGCATAATGCTGGCAAGATCTTAACAGTTTCTATCCCTTGGCCAATGCCTGTAAATAGTCCCTGTACTTTCCCCAGTATCGGAATAAAACCTGCTCTCTGTTGAGAAGACATGTTCTTGTGTGTTATCACCATCAGCCTCTCTTGGGCCTGGAATGCACCCCTAAGTTGCACAGGGCCTAGTCACTATGAGACCTAGTCCTGACACCAGGCTTCAGCTTGTTCTCTGCCCAAGACCCAGCCTGCTTAAGTATCTGAGGGACTGTCTCTCTTACACATCCTCCAACCTTGATCAGACAGAAAGCAAGCATGGGACAGCTTGGGGACTCAGTAAACCCAGAATTAAACAGATCCTTACTGTCCATGTTCTGAGGCCATTGCTGGCAGGCAGAGCCTCTGGCCTTGCTATAGTGCCCAGCACAGTCCTCTGGTCATGACTGAGTGTCTTACACTCCAGCCAGTATTATCAGGGGCTGGTAAGTGTAGCATTAGCAGTGAACCCACCCCAGCACCATACACACCATGGAAAGATAAGTGTTGAAGCTACCCCAGTGTACTGGCCTGGGAGGGCCGTGAGTTCCAGATACGAATCAGTGGCATGGTATTCATGGACAAAGGACAAGCAGTCTGAGCCCACCACAGGCCAAGGAAGAGGTGTGCAAGGATGAGCTCCCCCTGTTTAGGCACTTTCCAGAGTTCATATTAAATAATGCATCAACCAAGAGTTTGGGACAAATATGAGTTTGTGGAATATTATAAGACCTAATCAGTAAAAACCTATCAACAGCAGACCTGGGGCAAACCTCGATATAGAGTGCAACCCAGGGCCGAAATAATGGAGGTATCTATAGGCTCAGAGAAAATAAACAGGCTCCTTATAATTTCTGAGGTCAGCCAGAAATAAATGCAGATCACTGAAACTAGTCCCTCAGTGCACAGATGACAGATAACATTTTACACCAATAAGTGTCTAGAACCTCCAAGGAACCATGAAATCACCTAAAGAGCAAAACAAGGCGCCAGAAACCAATCATCTAGGAACTGAAACTTCCACATGTTTGAACGAAGATTTCAAAATTTCTGTTTTGAGGAAGTTCAACAAAAATTCAAGAGGACACAGAGAAATGATTAAATATTCCAACAGAGAGATTTGATAGAGAGATGAAAGAAATAAAACAAAATAAATCAGAAATCCATCAACTGAAAAGTACACTAAGTGAAATTAAAAACGTGCTAGAAGGCATTAATAACAGAATAGATCAAATAGAAGACAGGCTGTTTGAAAATACACACCTGGAAGAGAAATGAAGAAAATGTATGAGAAATACAGGACTTGAGAATTTCAATGGGTTTCAAAGACATAATGACAGAAAACCTAGAGAAAAATACTGCTATATTCAGATGCAGGAAGGTCAAAGGTTATCAGTCAGATGCAACCCTGCCAAGTCTACACCAAGACATATTATAGTCACGTCCCAAGGTTAAAGAAAAGATTCTCAAAGATACAAGAGAATACAAGAAAACGATACATCAAGGGATCCCAATTTACCTGACTGCATACTTCTCAACAGAAATCTTACTGGTCAGGAGGAAATGCAATGATTCTTTTACACTATTGAGGAAAAAAAATCCCAGCCTAGAATACTGTATTCCACAAAGCTATTTCAGGAATGAGGGAGAGAAAAAGATCTTCCAGATAAACACAGCCTGAGAGAA